CTAATCTCAGGAGACAAAAACACCGCATGGGCACGCCAAGATTGGTTTTCGTCCTCTGATCTCAGGAGACACCAACACCGCGTGGGCATGCCAAGATTACACATCCTAGGCATAGTGAAGGGAATATTAATATTGATACTACCCAACGAGGAAGCGACAAAATGAAAGAAATGAACAACTAAAAACAATAAAATCAATATTTGGGTTGCCTCCCAAAAGAGCGCCTTTCTTTAGTGTTTTTGGCTAGACATAGCCCATAATTTGCTTAAACCAAGCAAATTGGGTCCTCCAAAAGTATCGTCTCTACCCGTTCAACTGAAGTCCCATCATAATATGGTTTGGGACGATGACCATTCATCACAAATTTCTTCTCCATCTTAAGACTCTGGATCTTCACTGCGCCATAATCAAAGACATTAGTTACAAGGAAGGACCGATCCAACGAGAACGTAACTTACCTGGAAACAATTTCAATTTCGAATGGTACAGTAGAACTTTTTGCCCACATTCAAACGTCTTCCTAGAGACCTGCTGATCATGAAATATCTTATTTTTTCCTTATAAATCACAGCATTCTCATAGGTTTCATTGTGAATCTCCTCCGGTTCTTGTAACTGTAGCTTTCTTTGAATTCCGCCCTCCTCAATATCCATGTTGCATTGTTTGACCGCCAAAAATGCTCTATGCTCGAACTCGACGGGGAGGTGACATGGCTTTCCAAATACCAAACGATAAGGGGACATGCTGATTGGCATCTTGTACGCCATTCTATATGCTCATAAGGCATCTTCAAATCCTATACTCCAATCCTTTCTATCGGGTCGAACCATTTTCTCCAAAATCGACTTGATCCCCAGTTCGATGCTTCCGCCTGACCGTTTGTCTGAGGATGGTAAGAAGTGGAGATTTTGTGCAAGACACCGTACCTCTTGAAAAGCGCAGCAATCGTCTTGTTGCAGAAATGGGTACCCCGATCACTTACAATTGCTCGCGGCATCCCAAAACGAACAAAAATATTAGATTTGACAAATTTTGCAACCACTTTGGAATTATTAGTACGGGTGGGCTTTGCTTCCACCCATTTCGAAACATAGTCTACGGCAACCAATATATATAAAAAATCATAAGACGAAGGGAAAGGGCCCATAAAGTCAATACCCCAAACGTCAAAAATCTCAACAAAAATTATTGGGGTTTGGGTCATTTGATCCCTACGAGAAATATTACCTACTCGTTGACACTTATCACATGACTTACAAAATAAGTAGGCATCCTTAAAGAGGGTCGGCCAGTAGAATCCACTCTCTAGAATCTTACGAGCCGTCCTCTTTGGTCCAAAGTGACCTCCACATGCGAAAGAGTGACAATAAGCTAAAATAGATTGAAATTCATTTTCACTTACACATCTATGAACGATTTGGTCTGCACCACGCTTCCAGAGATAAGGGTCATCCCAGATGTAAAACTTTGCATCATTCCTTAACTTGTCCCTTTTTGCCTTAGGCCATACTGCAGGAAACTTGTCAGTAACTAGAAAATTAACAATATCTGCATACCAAGGCAAGGAAATATTGACAGAAAATAAGTGCTCATCGGGGAATGTTTCCCTCAGTGGGAGGTCGTCCTCGGTGGCTTGTACTCGATTCAAGTGATCTGCTACCAGATTTTCGACCCCTTTCTTGTCTCTGATTTCCAGGTCAAACTCTTGAAACAACAGTATCCATCTTATAAGTCACAATTTTGCCTCTTTTTTGGTCAACAAATACCGCAAAGCTACATGATCAGAGAAAATAATAACTTTAGCACCAAGTAAATAGGACCAAAATTTCTCTAAAGCAAAAATTACAGCTAAAAGCTCCTTTTCGGTGGTCGAATAGTTCAACTGAGCTCCGGTCAAGGCTTGAGATGCGTAGTAGATAGCATGAGCTACCTTCCCACTCTTTGACCTAGCACCGCGCCCACTGCGTAATCGCTGGCGTCACACATGATCTCGAATGACAGGTTCCAGTCGGGCGGTTGGATAATAGGTGAGGAGATCAATAGCTCCTTCAACCTATCAAACGCCTTCTTACATGCTTCATTGAACTCGAAGGGCATCTCTTTCTGCAAAAGTTGGAACAGGGTTGCTCCAATTTTCGAGAAATCTTTGATAAATCTTCTGTAGAAACCTGCATGTCCCAAGAAAGAACGCACTTCCCGCACATTCGCAGGGTAAGGTAAAGTAGATATAACATCTATTTTCGCTTTATCCACCTCAATACCCTTAGATGACAATATATGACCCAAAACTATTCCGTGCTCGACCATAAAATGGCATTTTTTCCAATTGAGCACAAGATTAGTTTCTATACATCTAACCAAAATTAATTTCAGGTTATCTAGGTAGATGTCGAAACTTTTCCCATACACACTGAAATCATCCATAAAAATTTCAATAATCTTCTCAACATACTCTGAAAAGATACTTACCATGCATCGTTGGAAGGTGGCAGATGCATTGCATAGCCCAAATGGCATCTTCCGGTATGCAAATGTTCCAAACGGGCACATGAAGGTAGTATTCTCCTGATCCTCGGGTGCGATAGCAATCTGGAAATAACATGAAAATCCATCCAAAAAATAATAGTAAGCTCGACCTGCTAATCGCTCTACCATTTGATCAATGAAAGGAAGGGAAATGATCCTTTTTCGTGACGGCATTCAATTTACTATAATCTATACACTGCTGCCACCCGGTGGGTTTTAGAACTGGTACGAGCTTGCCCTCCTGATTTGACTCTACCGTCACCCCTGCCTTCTTCGGGACCACCTGTACCGGACTCACCCAGGGGCTATCTGAGATTGCAAAGATTATCTCCACTTCAAGCAGTTTTAAGATTTTTTTCTTCACTACCTCCATCATGAGAGGATTCAGTCTCCTTTGAGCCTACCGGATAAGTTTAGCACCCTTCTCGAGTCGAATTCGATGCATACATACTGCTGGGTTAATTCTTTTGATATCGGCGATGGTCCATCCTATCGTCTGCTTATGGTCTCTCAAAATCCGAAGCAATTTGTCTTCTTGGACTATTGATAAACTGATGGAGATAATCATTGGGAGTGTCTCCTCCTCACCCAAGTACGCATACTTTAGGTGTTTCGGCAACGGTTTCAACTCCACAACAGGCGCCTGCACCACAGATGGGAGTAGCCTTTGGTAAGGTTCAGATATAAAAATGGCTGTGAGATTATACCTTATTCTTGTGGTTGGCAATGTCTGCAATGCTCCAAACACACATTGAGCTCTTCACTCAACTCTACCCCAGCAGTCATCTCTGACTTGAGTTGCCTGGTCAATGCGACTTCCAACTCATCACTGTCTTCAATTTCGAAAACTTCTCGTACAGCATGGTCAATAACATTTATAGAGAAAACAGAGCCAGCATGTGATTCTGAAGGATATTTCATGGATTCGAAAATGTTAAAATGAACAACCTCACCATCAAATTCCATAGATAGGGTGCCCTTATTAATATCAATTTTAGTTCGAGTTGTGCTCAAGAAGGGTCTACCTAACAGTAAATGTAATGGATCGTGAGAGTGTTCATCATCCATATCAAGCACGTAAAAATCAGCAGAAAAAACCAATTCATTAATTTTCACTAAAACATCCTCAATCAACCCGTTAGGGTATGCATTGGTTCAGTCAGCCAATTGGATTATTATTCCAGTGCCTTTCAGAGGTCCTAATTTCAGAAAAGCATATATAGATTTCAGCATGACATTAATTGAGGCTTCTAAATCTAACATAGCCTTTCCAATCAAGGTATTACCTATTCTACAAGGAATAGTGAACATACCTGGGTCCCCGCATTTTGGTGGAAACTTTCGTTGCAGAATTGCTGACACATTCTCCCCCACTATCACTCTCTCATCTCCCTTCAACCGCCTTCGGTTGACACACAGATCCCTAAAAAATTTTGCGTATCTGGGTACCTGCTTAATCGCTTCTAGAAGAAATATTGATCTCCACCTTGCGAAAAATCTCCAGGACCTCTTTTTCCTTGTCCTGCTTCCTTGGTTTCTCCAATCTGCTTGGGAAGGGAGGTGGGTTAGTTCTAACTGGAATAAGTAGGTTCGGAATTACCTTTGAATTTTTATTGCCTCCGCCTTCCTCTTCCAACTCTTTCTCAATTTGATTTTCGTCCTTGTTCTTAGGAATCAATGGGTCAGGTCCTTGGACCTCCTTACCATTTCTCAAGGTCATGGCGCTCACATTCTTCGGGTTCAACTCAGGTTGAGATGGCAGTTTTCCTTGCATTTGGGACTCCAACAGATTGAGCGTGATGGCCATTTGATTTACCTGAGTCTGCAATGATTGTACTTGTCCCCACTGATTTTTCATAGCTTGTAGGTGTCCGGTCTGATCCGTCTCTGCTGATTCGCAAGTAGTTGTTTCATCATCTCTTCTAAGGACGGATTGAGCTCGAAGGGGTAGTAGTAGGCGAGGCTGGTATTGCTGTTGATGCCATTGTTGTCTATTTGGTATGAAATTAGACAGCTTGTTCCCCTCATAACTCAGGTTGGGTGGTCCCTCCAACCAGGATTGTAGGTACTTGAGTACGAGTCGTACTGTCTTCTTGGCGCGGGCGCGTGGCCAGCCATGTTCATCTGCTCTGCATTTTCCTTTGAGCTAGTGGGCACATTTCTGTAGGATGGCCAGGGCAGAACATACCTCACAACACTTGACTTGTGAGGCACTACCCACAGCTAGCTGCCGCACAAAGGATGTCAATTCAAAAATTGGTGTTGAATAGAGGATGTTTCCACCTCATTCACCTACGTGTCAAGCATCCTCTTTAGTGTCAAACTGTTGCGAATTTTCAGCCATCCCCTCTATCAATTCCCATGCTGCCCGAGGAGTCTTGTTCACTAACGCCCCTCCACTTGCAGCATCGATTATACTTCTGTCTCTGAAAAGTAGCCCCTCGTAGAAATATTGGATGGGCAGTTGCTCACTTATCTGATGTTGAGGGTATTTGATACATAGTTTCTTAAACCTCTCCCAGTATTCATAGAGGGACTCGCCTGGGTGTTGTTTGATGCCGCATATCTCCTTCCTTAGGCTTGCAGCTCGGGATACTGGAAAATACTTGTCCAGGAATTTCTTCTTCAGTTGGTCCCATGTGGTGATACTACCCAGTGGTAGGTAGTACAGCCAGTCTTTTGCGAAGTCCTTCAAAGAGAAGGGGAATGGCCTCATTTTTATCTGCTCCTCGGTAATTCCCGGGGGTTTCATGCTGTTGCATACGACGTCGAACTCATGCAAGTGCTTATAGGGCTCCTCACCTGGTAACTCATGAAAAGATGGTAAGAGGTGAATTAGGCCAGATTTCAACTCAAAAGATGTGTTATCATTTAAACTTGGAAAAGTAATGCACAAAGGTTGCTGATTTAAATTAGGCGCAGCCAACTCCCTCAGTGTTTGTGAATTTGCCATGGTGGTTTCCTCTTGGTCTGAATCACTTGAGTTATCATCAAGCAAATCCGTCAACTCAACCTCTAGATCAGGTCCTTGAGGTGCAACACTGGACTGCTCTTCTTTGAGCTGTCTGGTCTCTTTCCTCGTTCTACGCGCGATTTTCTCTACTTCAGGGTCAAAAATCAATTCACCTGTACGAGAAGACCAAGGCATACACTAGAAAAATACCAAAAAATTAGGACAAAAATGAACTTAAAAAAAAGAAATAAATAATAACGCCAGTCCCCAACAACGGCGCCAAAAATTGACAAGGTGTCGAACCTGTGCAATAATAATAATAATAATAACCTAAATACTACTAAAAGCTGTCAATGATTAATCCTAGGTACTGGAGCAGGGACTCTAGGTGTGCAATGGATTACTTGATTCACCTAGGGTTGTCAACGGTCCGGGTCTGGATCCGGATCCCCGAACCCGCCAACATTTGGTTGGTATGGGTAGGAATATAGACCCGCGACCCGGACCCGAACCCGGACCCATATTATCTAATACATTTGCGGGTCGGATACGGGATATATCATTCCGACCCGTATCCGACCCGGACCCGTTTTAATTAATTAATAATTAAAATATATATACCTGGCTATCAATTATTCATACCAATACTACTTTCATAATTTCATTCCCAAATCTTTCGAACCCTAATACCTACCGCCGCACATGCACCTCCCTTTTCCCCTCACTCTCTTTTCTCTTTTGCTCTGCCTCCCACCTCCGCTAGTGACCACTGACCAGTCCGCTCTTCCATCTCCATTCTCCAGCTCCATCTCTCCATCTCCGGCGACGCTCTCGACTCTCTCCAGCTCCAAAGAAGCCCAGCTATCATCGTTACCGTCGAGTCTGGCCAGCTCCAAAGAAGCCCAACCCGGTCCAGTCTCACTGTCTTCTCTCTTGCACTCTCCATCTCTGACGCCGGCGAGCTCTCTCCATCTCTAACGCCTGGCGGTTGCAGCTCCGGTCAAAGCCCAACACTTCCAGCTCTTCCAGGCTTCCAGCAGGCCAGCTTTCTTGTCTCGTCTGCTTTACCTTTTTTATCCCCCTTTTATTTAATGGGGAGAAGAAAAATTAGAAAAGCCGAAAAGAATTGTAAAGGAGAAGGCACGTCTCCAGAAAACGTCAAACCTACAATTGAAAGTGGACGATATTTGCATCGCATTCTTTCGGTAACCTCATCTCAGATGCAAAAGTTTGCTGGATAGTTATTGGATTGTGCAGCAACTGGCTCTTTGTTTTTTTGCTCCTACAAGATATGATACCATGACAATAAAGTAGGCAAGTGGATCACTCCCAAGCATTTGAGAGGTTCTTGTTGAAAGGAAAAAAAAAAAGAAAGAAATCCAAAGCCCTGTTGCTCGGCCTCTAATTTTCACCAAGAAAATAATTTGTTATTATTTGGTCTCTGCACAAAGTTATTTGAAAGATTTTGCACTCCAAAAATCGAGGAGCAAAATTCAATAATAATGCGTCTAGATTATGAAAAATGGAAAAATGCGCTTGATTGCTATAACTAGTTATTAAGGTCAGCAGAAAAGGTGAAGATGATAGAAAGAAAGGATCTCAGGTAGATAATAAAATGAGGGCAAGGATAAAGATGAAGGTGTAAATCAGGTTTTTTTACTGGTCTTATCCGGGTAGGCCCGATCCGGACCCGGGACCTGTCGGGTGCGGTTCCAGATAAAGATTAAGAGACCCGTCGGGTATTTGGGTCGGATCCGGAATTAATACGGTATTACGGGTCCGGGTCCGGATTTATTGATTCCAACCCGGACCCGACCCGTTGACAGGCTTAGATTCACTTTGTTCCCGAAGTGTTTGTTTAATCCCATATATCAGAATTAATTAGTTGACAAAAATTACTGAAAAGTAGACAGTGTCAAGTAGGATCGTCTCCTCAGAGACTAGGGATATTTGCTTCCTTTAAATTCCAATTGGTAATGAGGGATTTCACCAGAATGAAATTAACAATCACTTAAACAATTTAACTAAAATTGAATAATCAACTAGCACAAATATAGCAGGAATTAAATCAAGGATAAATAAATTCTAGCCAAGGATGCAACTACTCAGACACAGTCCATTTATCCGATCATCGATGCAAGGGAGGTTCTCTTAATTTCTTAATAGGCTGGTTAAAGTCGCCGATGAACTCTAACAACCAATTTTTCCTTAAATTATTGATAACCAAGGTACGACCATTGATCACCCCTAATCAGAAAATACTCCTAGGTACGACCGTAGGAATTAATTTTCCAATTCTATTAATAACTAGAAAAACCTAACCCTAATCAATAACACGCTACGATGGTTATTTAAATTAGATTGCACGTTTTCCTAGTGTGCAAACACACCAGTTGCCACTAATATTAATCAATTAAACAATTACGGATTTAATTGACTAAATTGGTACGAGATTAATAAATCACATTGAACATCGGGCCCTTGACATCCAATTAATAAAACAATCCCATGAAAATTTAAGCAGACAACGTGCAAATATTAATAAATTAAGAAACGCGTGAAAACTAATTAGATCTCACAGATTTTCGGGACTGCGCCGTCGAGTTGACTCTTGACTAGATGGAAGATTTAGCCACGCCGCATAATTAAATCACTACACGAATTAATGGATTGCAACGGCATTGTGATTTTTTACTAGAAAGCAAGGAATAAAAGATGTTTTTCCCGTTAGGGAATATTGTCGAACACCTGCGTGTGTCAGAGGCCAATTAAAAGAAAGAAAACTAGAACTAAACTAAAAGCTAAAACTAAAGCCGTCCTTTGCTTCTGTACGTTGTTCCCTTTTAAAGCACCAAAAGAAAGATGACTAAAAGCGATCTAGGTGGTCCCCACACATGTGGACAAATCCTCCAAATTATTTCTTCTTCCAAGTCTTTCTACGTTGCTTTTTTGAAGAGCCCAAATGACTAAATATCTTTCACTAGCTTTGTGGTCCCCCACCAATTCAAGGGCCCAAGAACTGAAACCCTTAAAAGTCTCCATTTTCTCCATAAAGTACCTCCTTTTTGGTAGTTTTCTGGTTCATTCCTGAAATTAAGTCATGGTACCAAATATAAGTAAATATCAACAATTAACACAATATTTAGCAGGGATAAAAGGGAAAATTAATAATAAAATTATTAACAAATGATACCCTATCATTTATCATTTATTTTATTATTAATTTTTCATATTACCTGACCCGATGTGGATTAATTGCTGGATTCTACTCATTTTTAGTATTTGATATATATTTCAGGGAGTAGAATGAAAATATCATAATAAGTGCCAATTTGATAGTTATCAAAAAAGAGTTCAAGTAGCAGACATCCAGGGTATTTTTGAAATATCAAGACGCGACCCTCTTTGATAATTTGCGGAAGACAGCATAAAAGAAAAAAAGGAACGCAGGGCTGCGGTCCTCTTCCCCCCGGGGGGAGTCGCCGCACATGAGAAGAAGCATTGGATAGAAAAATGTAGCAGACAATTGGGAATTACTTTTGGCTTACTTTTGACTTTTCCGTTTTCCGTCTTTGAGTGGTGGCTCCCTGTGCGAATGTGTGACAATGAATTTAGCTTTTGTAGGGACAATCACTTTTGTAGTTAGCTTTTCATTTCATGATTCGAATCGAGCTCTCAAAATCGGAGACCATGGCCGCAATTACTTCTGAATTTTTGCGTGGGTCTCTTGTGTCAGGGATGAACTAAATCCCTTTTTCTAGTCAAGAAACAATGGATGTTTTGAATTACCTAAAATTGTGAGATTAATTTAATTTTATCTTTTTCTCTTATTTATTAGTATTTGCATATTCTCTGATTACAGTGCTTATGGTTATTTAATTAATTGATTGTCTTGGATCCGAATAATTAATTAATTTGATAATTTATTGTCAATTAGGGTGTTAAATCCGTAATTGTTTAATTGTCCTGAAATAGTGATAGCTGGCATGATTGGATTTGTGTCAGGGGAATACGCAGGCTAACCTAAAATAACCCTGGTAGTATATTATTTGATTAGAATAGGGCTCCTCTAATACGTAAGGCAATTGGAGAATTAAATCTTATGGGTGTACCTAAGATTATTTCTCAATTAGAGTAGTGATTAACGGGCGTACCTTAATCACCGACACAGTAAGGAGGGGTTGACTGTCATCGCTTGTTTGGCAGTTATAACCTATTTATTAGTAAATAATTGGAATTGCCTTTGTTTCAATGATCAATTAGGTGAGCCATTACTGAAATTATTCCTTGGCTAGATCCTTAGTTATCATTCATTTGATTTTAGTAAATTGTTATTTAATTTTTAGTAGTTCCTTGAATTTTATTTGCATTTATTTGATTGTCACTCTCTGCGCAAAAACACCCCCCTTGTCACCGTGAATTTGAAAAGAAACAATTACTACCAGTTCCTGTGGATTCGACCCTATTCACCGCTATCTACAGAAATTACTTTTAATTTGAGCAAGTTTTATTATTGCACAAGTTTTGACAACCTGTCACCTCGCATTCTTGGAGCCTTTCTCAGAAAAAAAGCTAATTCAATCCGGCAAGTGGAACCACCAAGCCCTTGGGCTGGTGGCCACCACCAA